TAATTACGAGTTTTCACGACTGGTTCGTGGTCGGGCCCCGTCGTGACGCACACTCTCCCTTCTTATTTGGGTTTGGTAGAACATTACGACGTAAGAACCGAAGTGGACGTTCTGCGACACATCGAAAAGAAAAGGGAGATCTCGCTCGTCGATCGCGACAAACGAATAGGGAAGATGAGAGACGTGGTGGAATGAGCGCTCAAGAAGCGGGACGAATTGCAAGAGAGAGACCTGAGCGAGATTTAAAAGATCGTCGACACTCAGGAGAAACGGATGCGAAATCTAGAGGAATCCCTATGATAGATCGAGGAAAGGAGGGAGGCCTCGCTCGTCGATAAACGAATAGGAAAGACGAGAGACGTGACGGAATGAGCGCTCGAGAAACGGGACGAACTGCGAGCTAGAGACTTAAGCGAGATCCAAAGAGTCATCGAGACCCTCGGCGACGCTCAGGAGAAACGAACGCGGAACCAAGAGGAATCACTGCGAAATCTAGAGGAATCCCTACAAAACGAGCTCGACGCGTCGTCGACGAGCCGCGAGAGGATCTCGATAGAGGAGAATCTCGCGCGTAGCATGATAGATCTGACGAGAATCGCGAGAGAACTGACGAACAAAACGATAACGAGAGAGACGCTGAACAAGACGCTGGCCTCGTTGAACGTAGATAAAATGGTGATTAGGGAAACGATAGACGAATTACTAATCGCGCTAAAAACGGATATCTCGAAACATGCGATTAACGTTTGGAACGAGGAACAAGAGCAAACGCGCGAAGCGATGAGCACGAATAAAACTAGCGCGAATCGCGCCTCCGCGTAAATTAACGATGAGCGTCGAGAAGAAGAGACTCGTCAAAGAGCTTCACGCACCCGCGCGAAGAAATTTCCCGCGTCATCGCGTCGTGGTGCGCGGATACGACGACCTGTGGTAGGTCGATGTCGTCGAGATACGTACGTCCGTACGCGCGACAAAACAAAGGTTACAACTACGTGATGACGGTTATCGATGTGTTAAGCAAATATGCGTGGGCGGTACCGCTGAAGAGCAAGAGCGGAAGCGAGGTAGCCGCGGCGTTATCCAAGATATTTCGCGATGACACTCGATATCCGCGAAATCTACAAACGGACAAGGGCAAGGGGTTCTACAATGCTTCTGTCATGTGGAGGCTCTTCACGTTCAATGGATGGCTGGTACAGATGGCTCGACGCTCTACCGCGTTTAATTCCGGAGTATAACAACCGCGTGCATCGAACGATCGGAATGCAACCGGCGAACGTAACTTCTGCCGTTGTCAAAAGATTCCTCTCCACGGTATACAGTCACTTGAAGATCGCAGCCCCCGTGAGGTTCAAGGTGAACGATCCGGTACGCGTCAGCAAGTTCAAAAGGATTTTCGAGAAAGGATATTCGCCTAACTGGACGACCGAGATTTTTCGAATCGCCAAAGTGCAACGCACGAATCTCGTGACGTATCTGCTGAAAGACTATGGCGGAGAACCAGAGGATTCTACGAACACGAGTTATTGCGAGTTTTCAATCCCGATATCTATCTCATAGAGAAGATGACTACGTAAGAAAGGACGATAGAGTTTTCGTCAAATGGTTAGGAATGGACAATACACATAACTCTTGAATACATAAAATGGCTGTATTGTAATGAATAAAGAGTACAAAGATATCTTATGTGAAACGATTACTTATTTTACATTGGTAAATGAAAAAAGTAAGGTAAAAGGTAAAAGTATTTATACTACACTGGTATCTGATAACGGCATCTTATAATGATCCCACGGTAATGTATCGGATATTACGTATCGCTTGTCGTCGTAAGGACTCAAGGTTAGCTTTAGTTCAGACACGGTGTAAACCTCGAGCGTACGCATGCCTGACGTCTCGATTGCTGCGATTCGTTCAAGCAATGCGCAAAATTCTTGAACGTATCGTTTTTGCGACGATACTCCTCTTGATGCCCTTTATTCTCTTCGTATCGTTCTTTCTCAGAACTCTCAGAGCGTACATCTTCGCCCTGAATCCTATGAACTCTGTCATGATCGCTCCGTTGTTTTCGTCCTTCATCAAACCGAGAACCTTCTTGTTCGCGCGCGGTATATCGTACGCGTTGTCGTCGGGATAATCGCTGGTGTCGAATCTCGATATCCCGCTTCATATTTTCGTAAACGTTCTGACATTTTAAAAAATATATCAAGCTATCAGTGTCCGTGTACATGATTTTGCATTTAGAGCGATAAAGCGGGATCATATAATCGTAATCAAAATCGTACAAACGCGTCTTAGATATCTCTAGAATGCACATACCGACGTAGGATTAAACTTAACTTCGAGTTTGCGCAACGAGTTTTCGGCCATGAGATTCTCGTCGAAGACGCTCCTGCTGTGGAAGTTCGGTTTCGCGATCAGCGCCTCCGCGCCATATCTTCCGTCCCAACGCGTCACGAGCCTCACGTCTACGTGATCGCGCACGTTCTCCATAATTTTGCCGAAAAAACCGCGTTGTTCATCAGTTTATACAGATTTCTCTTGAACTCGTTGCTCGCGCAAGTTCTCCGTTCCGTATTGAGCTCGATGTACGCGTGCAGCCAAGGAGACTGCGCGAACTGCAATACGCGCGAACTGTAACACGATAGACTTTCGTCACGCGTAAACCATGTCGCATTGCTGAAGATTGCGATAGTGCGTCATGTAACGCGACTTCTCGTAGAGCGTGATGAGTAGCTTTTCGTTTCGTTTTCCCGGCGGTTTCTCGCGCGTCGGACAGAACGGAAGATCCGCATGGCCGTTGTAAAGATATCGCGGATTCTCGAGATCGACTTCTAGAATATAATCGATATCGGAGTCAGGTGGAATGGACATAATGTCGAGACTCTCGACATCCTCGACCCACCGAAATTCCGCGTACGGTAAGGGCTCGCACATGGCCCAGCCGTAGAGATTGTTCACGTCGTAGTACATGAGATACAACGACGGTTGAGACGAGTCGTATGACGATTCGTATTGGTTGTTAGCTCGCGCATATCTATTCGAATATTGACTCAAACCGCCGCGTATACCGCGCTCTATGAACAACACCATATCGATATCGGTAAGCAGATCAAATCGAACATTCGTGTATTTCAACATAGTGTCCCACGTGTATCCCGATAACGTGAAATAATGCTCTGGATCCAAACCGTAACTCTCCATACAGATATCCCAAAAATTTTCAAAAACATCCACCAAGAGAAGCACATCCGTTTTCAAATATAGATCGCTGTACTCGCGAGAGTCCTCACGCGAAAACGCTCCCATATCCTTCGCGCGTGCTCGTAATCGCTAGCGCTCACAGTTTCGCCAATTAAAGAACTGTGAAAGGCTTCGATCGGCGGTTATTCGGGAGCTCGAGCCATGCTTGATGCAATCTCTCCTGTCGTGCTCCAGGAGGATTATTTGTATATTTGCCAATGGCGTTGGAGGATGTCGCTGCTGCAGTCCGACCTGCATCCATCGAGTGAGAGACCAACATCGCTCTGGAGTACCGGTCGTGGGGATTCGAGAGGATATACATATGTATATTGTAATATATGTATATGTGTGTATGTCATTGTATTGTTGACTTGTTGTTCTAAACACGTTATTGCGATAAATATCATCACATGCCTCGGTAGTCGAAAAGATAAGATGCCTGCCCGGTAAGCAGGAGATCTAGATTCGATTCCTGGCTGAGGTGGTATTTTTTCGCAAAATAATTACGAGTTTTCACGACTGGTTCGTGGTCGGGTCCCGCCGTGACGCACACCCTCCCTTCTTATTTCGGTCTCTAATAGTTTATCAACATTGTCGACGTACTCGTACGGAAATACGCCCTTGCGCGTAAGCAACTCGAAATTCTCCGCGACGAGACCGGAGAATTCGAATCTCGCGATCCTCAATTTTTCCCGATTTTTCTAAATACGAAGCTAATTTCTCTAGGCTGATATTGAGAAACTTGAATAAATCTACGAAATGTAGCTTAACGCATTTTCTATACCGAATCGTTAAAGGTTTTTGAAAACGCGATGTAATTCTCCTTAGTCAGCGATAACAAGTCGACTTTACCCTCGAAAACGTTCGCTACATCCCTGATAATAAAATGCGCGTCATAACGGATAGATTGTGAAAGAATACGTGAATAACGAACGCGTTCTGATAGTTTAAATTGCAGCTCGCGCGGGTCCTCTATAATACGTCCGGTAAGATGATAGTGATCGCACACGCGAACGTCGTGCGACTCAAAGATCCTTCCGCACACGTGACAATTTGTCGCCCTTTGAAAAGCTCGTCCGGCGCTCCGACATCGGTACGCTCGCGTAGAGAACCTTCCTAACGCGACACGCGAAAGCGCGCAGTTTGTTCGACAAACCATGAGACGCAGTCGCCGCCGCGACGAGATTTATACGCGAATACGATTCCGTTGTACGCAAATAATATCCCACGCTGAACGCCTTGTGATGTTGATAGGCGAATCTATTGTCGAGATTCCCCGCGAACCGATCCCGTCGATCTCCCTTTTTTAAAACGTACTCCAGATTGGCGTACACGACGAATCGTAGTCTCTCCTTTCTAGCATAATTATGGAAGGAGAGCCACTTGTCGCTCGGAAGAATAACGGCGCAGTCGTTCGCTCTTCCGCACTCGACGCTATGCACGACCAATTTCTCGTTCGAATAAAAGTAATGCAGACATCTGAAAAAAAAACGATTTATGATTAATATAAAATTTACCTCGCGACGAGCATAGTCTCTCTTATACTTACCGATCGCATATGTACTTTTTTTCCTTATGCCTGTTTATTTGGGATGTCAACAGTCGAGACAGGAGCTTTATCCATACGAAGTGACCGACGTTATTGCCGCGCTGTTCGTTCGACAAATAGAGCAAATTCACGTGCGTAGACTTCTTGTTCCCCGTGAGCAACAAGGGAACGACCATAATACCGTTCTTCTCCCTTTTCTTTCGAATGGCAAATACGTTAATAGACAAATCGTTAAGACGCTCGAATCTAGCGATTTTTCGTAGCGTCATAGGAAAGTCGATACCGTCAAAATTCAACATCATTGAATAGTGAGAATATACGACGAAGGTCTCTCCGAATAGATCGACGGGATACAGAGCGGCCATCACCGCCCACGCGAAGCACGCGTTGTCGTTTGAATCTACATTGATCACGGCTCTCTTATTCCTTATTTCCAGAGGAAATAATAACATCCAGCGTGCATAGGATTACACTTGTTCTACATTGATCATCAAATTTAATATCCAAAATAACACCCAACCGCTGTCGCGTTCCTGAAATTCCTTCAGCGACGTCAAAATAACATCTATAACGTCTCTGTCGTACCATTCTCGTAGATCGGACATATCGAACATAGCTGACAATTCCTCGTGCGAATGCTCTTAACAGCGCTCTTATTATTCGCGACGAACTTCCCGTAAAACGCGGTGTTGACCTTCAAACACGTGTATATATCGAGATCGACGAGCACTACGTCCTCGAGAAACCGTCGACGTACTCGATGTTTACCACCGCACCCGTTTATACGCGATTCGCGAAGGCCGTCTCGATATTTATCTACTCGAATTTCTTCGAACCGTCGTACCCTGCACCCGAGTAACTGAAACGTCGACTCAAAGCGAGTCTCGCACCCTCCAACTGCACTATTCGAGAGACCAGAGAATTTATTGTTCCGGTAACCGTAGGATCGACTCTATTCTCGCACCTGTCTCTCAAAACCTCGAGATACTCGACGCACTCTCGTTCCCAAACGCGATACTTCCCAAGGCGCACGCGTTCTTCGAACTCCTGCCGCGCGCTTGAGAAGATCGTGATTCTTCTCCATATCGCGACTCCCACACGGTGTTACCCTGACCGTCCGTAGGAACGACGAATTTGACGTCTCGAATTTCTCTCTCTCTCGCTATTTCTCTCGTAGATCACCGCTCTGTCTCTCACAGCCAGCAACGTTTCGATCCACAGTTTCTCTCGCGGGCTCTCTGCACCGATCTCTCGCAGGTGATACGTGGCCACGTTCCAGCAAATATCCTCTCTCACTGCGATCCACTCCTTGTCGTTACTAGGCGCGATAGTGACACTCGTGACACTCTAAACTATTATCACTACCGATAACTGACTCGTAACCGATCATCACCACCGATATCGCTGTAGAAATCGCGATGTGTTACAATATGATCGAACGCGCATAGAGGCGGATCGTCGCTCTCGCTCGAAGACGAACCGCCATTAAGCGCGAATTCTTCCATATATCGTTCTTAACAATGAAAAAAAAATGTCTCTCGCGACTAGATATATACTCCGAGGGAGTGTCGAAGACGCCCGTCTAACCGCGACATCCTGAAAAACAGAACGCGCGGCATCCTTTCATCTCGGGACGCACTAGGCCCCGTAGAAGACGCCGGTCGCGCACCTAACCGCGGCATCCTAAAAAACAGGACGTGCAACATCCTCTCACCGGACCTGCGAACGACGCCGAAAGACCGCGCGGCGGTCCTTTCGCCGAACCCATGGCGAGAAGAACCATCCCCTAGAAGCGACACCGGAGAAAAAATCATTTCCTCCGACCACCAGGAGGAAACCATCCTCCGATTGCCAGGGGGGAAACCATCCCTACCGACCAAGGAGAAATAATTACTCCGGCGACCGCCAGGGGAATCTACCTCCTCCCCGGATGCGGATCCCGGATAGGACGGGGATTCCATGATTTCCCCCCATGGTCTCAGTCAGTCGCCCATCTCTGCTCAATCTCTGCTCATAGGAAGTTAGCCGTGCTCTTGTAATCAAATTCAGTGCTCTTGTCGTTCTATATCGCTCTTGTCGTATTCGTTAGTGAAGCTCGTGTTGTAATTTAGACTTGTCAATCTCACTTGATTCGTAATAACATTACGTTTCTCGTCATTCTGAGAGACTTTTCGGCGAAACATTCTGAACCGTGGCGAATTCTTGGTTCACGTTTTCCATCACCACATTGTGATTCAAGTTTCGAACTCGACAAGAATATCTATTGTAAGCATTCTCAAAGAGCGAATTCTAAGTGACAAGTGCGCGTATCTCAGATTAACGAAGTAGCACGTAACCCTCTGTTAAGTCAAGGTGAAAGACACTCAAGATGAAAGAGCTTGCGAACATTCTCTTATCACGTGATCATGCAATTCGTACTAACCGCGCAAACCAGTGCGTCTATTTAATGAACATCTATTCTACTTCCTCAAAGTGTACGCAACCATCAAACGCTATTCGATACATTTCACTGTAAAAGCTGACTCATTAAATGAGTGTGATCTGTCTCAAGAAATCTCGTCACTCTATCACCCATCGGATCCTCAGTCGAGGGTCGTTCCAGCGAACGGCGTCTCAATTCCGTACATATGATAACAACGATGAAACTTATGATAATATATAAAATGTATAAAACTACATGGAATACATACATACATATACATGACATACGTATATACGGACATACGTAATAAAT